CTGATCCACTCCAGGTTTTATAGTGCTGTCAGTCAGACTTTAGACTCCTAACAGCAGTCTAATCTCTGCTCCTCTTTCTCCAGGTTCCCAGCAGCCCCGCGTGGTGGAAGGGGGTGCCCATAACCCTGTATCCCGGCTCCCCGCAGGTACAGCCCTGTCCTTACCGAGCCCCTCTCCTTTTCCATCTTTTTCAAGGGGGTGGTGGGGGGGTTGCTGACCGAGGCAGGCCTGAGCCTGCTTGAGAAAGGCAGCACCTGACCTAATCCTTAAAGCCTGCTTCCTTCCTGTGTTCTGGAGATCCGAGGTGGGCGTTCATGTTGGTCACCTCTCTCTCTGTCCTCCTCTCCCTGCAGATGACCCAGTGGTCCGCATGCCGGACGTTCAGAGGAGCGTGGGAAACACGGCAATGAAGATGGCCTCCCTCTCAATCCTCCTCACCCTGCTTCCCGGGCTCTGCCTGTTTCTGCTGTGAGGACTACAAGTCCCAGAGACACTGAAGTGGACTACAAATATGGTGGCCCGGGTAGGCCTGTAGCTGGCTGCCCCCCCACTTTTTGCCTGACCGGTGCTGGACACCGGGGAGAGATCACTCTCAACGGGGAGAGTGCAAGAGCCATTTTTTTTAAAAAAACTTTATATATAAAACAAATTTACTGAAGAACTGAGGCCTGTGACGCTTCTTAGTGAATGCCTGGAGCATAGGAAGTGTGCAGCGCACAGACGTGGGACTGGCGGAGACCCCCAATTCTAACTCCGAGGTGTCTTGCAGCTGACACTCGACAACCTGCCTGCAAGCTGCGCCCCAAAACTACAGGACACTAAAGAGACAACTGTGGCTCCATGTCTGTGGGTCTGAACTGCAGGTGTCTGTGGCGCCCGTAGAGATGTGGGGTTGACGTTGCTGCTGTTGTTCACTGGGGGGGGGGTTAGTCTCGATCCTGACGGGGAGCTGGTCTCCCCACTGTAGCACCTTCCACCACCAACCCCCTTCCCCCAGATACAGGCGGACAGTGTGCTCAGCGCCGCCCCCTGCTGCTCCAGCGCCGACATGACGCACGACTCGCCTGACTGCGTGGTGGGGGGCGGGGTCAGGAGGGGGACTCTGGCCAATCCGCTGCAGAGCTCCGACACGACCTCGCACCTCGATCGCCCCGCCGATCAATGAAGTGACTGACGAGCGGGCAGGCGCTGGGGACGGAGAGACGTTAACGAGCCAATTAAGTGCTGGAATGGGTTTGGCTGATTGCCGTACACAGAGCAGTGGATCGGGGGGGGGGGGTGTTCTGTGCATTTTGCCGTTTTTCCCATTTTAAAGTTGATCGTCTCCCAGTCGGCGGTTCTGGCGGTCCTGGCAGGACCCGGCCCGTTCTCTCACACCCGGGCCAGACTGGCGGTCTGGCTGCTTTGTTCTCAAGATTTTTCTCTTTTGTTTCCGTTTCTGTACAGGTGTATGTAAGACTGTAAAGTAAAAACTGAATTGTACATAGGAGTATATAAAAGCCAATGTCTGATCATTGAAACCTTGCTTCCGAAAGTGAATAAAATGTTTCTACCAATGGGACCTGTGCAGGTGTTTTGCCACAGACTGACGGGCTGCCTCTCTCCTGGTGTTCCAGTGTCTCCTCCCTCTCAAATTCAATTCAAAGAGCTTTATTGGGCCTGGCCATCTCTGAACTGGCTCCATCACTCTGCTCTCCTCCCCAGTGAGAGTTGCTGTGTGGGGAGAGGACTGGTGCATCATCCAGGTGGGGCCACACACTGGTGGGGGTGGAGGGGATCCCCATGACCTGTGAAGTGCTTTGAGTGGAGTGTCCAGAAAAGTGCTATATAAGTGTAAGCAGTTAGTATTATCTCAGTGTTGCCAATGCAGATACAAGCATCACAACAGTACATGTCCATACAGGAAACAGATCAGTACCGAGAGAGATGTAATAGGTTTATTCCATGCTGGAAAAAAAGAAGAGAACACAACGTTTCGGCCGTGGAACCTTCTTGGAGTGACACCAGAAGAAGGCTCCACGGCCAAAACGTTGTGTTCTTTTTTCTTTTTTTCAGCATGGAATAAACCTATTACTTGTTCCTTTGCAGCCTACGCATGCTGACGCAGCTCCCCACCTGAACTACTCGTACCGAGAGACAGGCTGACTGCTCCACTAGATCACACACTGGGCTGCAGCTCTAGTGAGTTTCCTCTCCCAGCAGGATTGGAAGCTGTTCTAATTCCAGCAGGAGTGGGAATTCCGGGATTAGCCTTGTTATTTTAGGGAAGAATGTTTGTCTAATCGCAGAGTAGGGCTGGGCGCTGTGACCTCAAACCGATATCGCGATAATTTCCCACACTTACCTGGATAACGACAAATTAACGACGATTTTTTGGAAACCCTTGAACTTCCAGGATTACATGGTATGCT